GTGTTTGACAAATTGTCTGACCTGGATGAGTTCTCTCGGGAAGCTGTAATGTTCACTCCAGTCCAAGTCGTCCAGAGGATATTGTCCTTCTCCTGCAGCGAACTTCATCAGGCAGCACAGAGCAGTCTCCTAAAATAACAGTTTTATTGTGTGATGTTCAACCACATTATTAAATGCAACATTGCTTCCACTTCATGTGAGGGGAGGTTTGTTATTCTGGGAGGTTTGTTATTCTGGGCGTCTTCCTTCTGTTATCAGTCATCTCACCTTGACGCTGTGAGCTTCGTGGCTGAGATGATCGAGCAGGATCTCCACACAGCTGTTGTATCGGTGTCTCATGAAGATGCGGTACTTCTCCTCGGGACTATAACCTCCTGGAAAAGATGGAAAAATGAAAAGCGGGTGTGTGATATGAAACTTTAGTGAGAATTAAAGATAAGATAAAACTGAATTGATCCACACGCCAGGGACGTTCAGGTGTTACAGCAGCAGGCAGGTCGATATAAACCTTTTACTGTATTGGTTTGTATAGAAATGTTAGAAAGTCCAGGCAGGTCAAACCCAGAGGAGTCAGGTCTTCTCTTGTCATTAACTCATATCTTCAGCTACAGTTGCATGTGGTATCCCAGCAGACTCATGAGCTGTGGGTGCAGTGCTGTTCCTCTCGCGTATCTTGTGTTTGGGGTTTATTATAAAGAATATCCAGCTCAGACTCACCACTCAACGCCTCCTCCTCTCCGGGCAGTTTCCCCATGAACAGATCTCTCCTCTCCAACAAGGTGCAGAACAGTTTACTGCAGGAGCCGACAGCCCCGATGACATCCTTCTCTTTCTCTGACTGCAAACACAGAAGAATGCACAGTTACCTCCGGAGCTAAAAGCTGCTGTGACGTTACCCAGCGTGTTTTCAGCTGTGTTACTCCAACAGATGAATGTTCTCACCTGAAGAAACTCCAGAAGGTCGAAAACATCGTTCGCATGTTTCCTGCTCTCCAGTATCCGCTCGACTTGACTGTCCAGGTTGATTTTCGCAGATTTTACACGTTGTTCTGTTGTTTTTAAGGAACTCACGTTGCGCTTTTTGGCCGGCGCCATGTTTACTCGCTGATGTTGCGTTCACGACACAGCTCAAGAATAGGAAACAACCCACTCATTACAACGTGGACACAGTTACGGGCACGCAATTTATACGTGTTGTGTTTTCGATTCAAACTCTTAGTTTAAAACATTTACAGCAAGTTTTCATAGATGTTAGATGTTTTTATTTGGTCACGCTCCCTTTGCATTTACACTTATTTCGACGAACGATGGGAGCATTAATTTACTATACTTTGTAAGGTTGTGAACGCGACATTAGCGCAAACCATTTGTTGTATCGCCTCCTAGTGGCCGGAGGGCGAAGGTTCAGCTCATGTCACAACCTCCGACTTTTTTTTTTATTTGACTCTATTTTTCATCATTCATCCAAATGACACATACAATTTTTAATTGAAGCTGAGCTGGCAACACAACTAAAAAGAAAATGGCCATGAAAAAATACTTGCTTGATTATTCATTGGATTAAAGGTCCAGTGTGTAAGATTTAGAAAGGGAACTATTGGCAGAAATTTAATGTAGAATAATCCTCATGATGTTTTCACTAGTTTGTTTCATCTAAATTTTATGAATTGTAGTTTTCTTTACCCTAGAAAAGGGCCTTTATATTCAAATACTTTATATTTACATGGAGGGGACCCTCTCTACGGAGGCCGCCATGTTTTTACATTAGTCCAGACTGAACAAACTAAACATCTTTTGAGTTTTTATGACAACTGAAGCTGCCACAGTTTCTTTTTCATGTTTGGAAAGGGAGGGTGAGGTGAGGGGTGTTCAGCTGCAACATGCAATTTCAACACTAGATATCACAAAATGACAAATGACAGCTCACACTGATAAAGGCTTTTTAAAATCCAAACCTATACTTGGTCATTGGTAAAATGTTAAAAGTACTGGGGCAGCAGAAACTCTTTCATTTACTGACTGACAAAGCCCCTCCTGTTGCTGCTTTGATGAGCTCATCATCAAACAAATTATACAGGCATTCACATTGTTTGACAGTGACATTATCATTGAAGAACAATCACCAGAATAAAAAACAGAATGTCTAATAATCAGGTTTTTATATGTTTAATAACATTTGTAAAAGATCAATTTAAAGCCACTAAAAAAAACATCAGTCTTGGAAGATCTTTTAAAGCAAACAAAAAAATAATATTTGGGTGAGAAATTCCTCTTCTTTCAGCAGGCGTGACCTAATCTGTGTCATTTTCTTCATCTGCATTGTCCTGAGGAAAAAGAGCAAACAATCAATTTGATTATGTTACAAAAGAAATAATGTAATGTGACAAATAATGGTATTAAATACAAGTTGTTTCTTAGATACCTGTTTCTGGTCCTTAGCGTCTTGAGTTCCAGTAGCCGTCCCTTCAAAGTCATGGATAGGAAGTGTGGCCATCCAGCTGACCATGGAGCCCTCCTGAGACTCCGTCTCAACAATGGTGGGGTAGATGTGAGCCTCCTTAAAAGCCTGGATAACTTCCTCCTCGCGGTCCCATTCTAAGCACTCGTGCAGCCCGTCCCCTCCGAAGCGTTTGTTGTATCGGTCAAAGTGAACCCTCTCTAGCACCAGACCCAGTCCTGGAGCTTTGGGCACATCCACCTTCTCCTGTCCCCAGCTCCGCTCTATCACCTCCTCCGTCGCATAGCCCTTTATTATCGCAATCACCAGGCCGATCATCTTGCGGATTTGGTGCATCATAAAGCTCTGGCCTCGCACAGTGATCACTGCAAACTCTGAGTCGCTGCGGATGAAAGGCTCCCCGCAGGTCATCTCTGTGATGTAGCGGCGAGCGCTGGGGTCGTTAGGAGCCTTCTGGGAGGTGAAGTTGTGGAAGTTATGGGTGCCTTTGTACAGAGCAAACAGACGGTTCACCCTCTGAATTTTCTCCGGTTCCAAGCGAAAGGCTGCTATGTTCCCTGTGTCAGAGTCTTTCGGGGAGAAGGCCACTGTTGGAAGCATGTAGGAGTAAGTACGACCATCACAGTTGTTTTTGGAATTGAAACCCTGGGTGACCCGTTTAAGACCTGTGGAGGCAAGTGAAAATAGAATTCCATAATTATATTCAAAATGAGAAATTCTGCAACTACTAAAAAATCACAGGAACTAATCTCACCAAGAACTCTGATCTGTTTTGGAAGATGCTCGTTGATTTTTTCAATGACGTCCTCAATCAGCCGCAGCTTTAGAGACACAACTTGTCCAGCAGCAGACACACCCTGAACAGGTTCAAAGAAATAAACACCAGCATCCTTTGTCAAGATGACATCATAACAACAGAATCCCTTTTAAGAATAACTTCATTGACCTATCCATGCAAAGGGCTTCACAAAATCCATGGCAAAAATGAATGAATAAAAATAAAAGACAGGTTTAACAGAAAAACTTCCCACTGTGCTCAACCCTTACCTTATCTGTTCTGGCACATCTTTGGAAAGACATCTTCTTCATGTCGTCACCGTGGTTTTCAGGAATGCAGCCAGATTTAACGAGAGCGGTGACCAGATCCCCTTCGATGGTCTTGAACTCAGAGGTTCCAGGATTCCTCTGAAACACAGAAAACACTTCCAATCAGCCACACTTAAGAAAATAAAGCGCCTATAAATGACAGCTGGAGGTGCGGCGTGTACCTGCATGCCATAGTAGCCCTTTCCAGAGTACGCCATGAGAAGCACCACTTTCTTCTTAGGATATTTCTTCTCATCTTCAGCCTGTTCTGTTTTCAATCTCTTTGCAGCCTGCAGCCTCTTAGCCGAGTCTTCGTTTTCCTCGTTGGCTCTTTTCAGCAGCTTGGCTGTGTTTCCGTCTTCTGATGCTTCAGTCATCGTGCGACACAGAATATGAGAAACACCTGCAAAGATAACACGAAATATTCAATCATCATCCACTAACACGTCTCTGGTACATGGAGTCAAAGCAGCTCAGCCTGTGTGGGTCTGCAGAGACATTGTGTTGACAGATGGAGAGAGAGAATGGAGAAGAAGCTGTAAATGCTTTTAGCTGACTTACCTCTCGTGTTTGTCGTGAGTGAGTGTTTAACTAAGGCACTGAACACTGGTCGCACTGTCAACATGTCACGTTATCAAGCCATCATGAGAAAACCTGCTGCTACACGATGAGTTTCAGACGAAGCGATCGAAGCAGCGCAGGAGATTCAGCTACAACACAATGAATTCACTTCAGCACTCATGGACTGAATCCACCACGTGAAGTCCGTCTGCACACTTCTCTTAGTGACCGCATTCATAGATATTTACGAATGAAGCGTTGTACACAGTGGTGGGTACACATGGTCACTACAGGGATGTGTTAACTTTGACCCCTCCTGTAAACCTCGCGATACTTCCTGTTCTCGTTTTCGCTTACGTCACTGTAACCCCTTTTTTTTTAAATAGTTTTTTTACTTAATTTTTATTCATGACATTTTCACAACTATAACACCGAAGATAAATAATTTCAATATTTCAGAATCTATTATATTGTATCTTGTAAAACAGTGAGAGCTGGACTGCAGCAAATCCACAGGACTAATGTTATAAAAGTTT